GGTACACATGCAAGAAAAAATCCATGCCTCTCCATCTTTTCCCCAGGATTGCTCTTTGGCGAGACTCTTTTGCGACTGCTTCACTTTCCCAGGTTCATAGAAGAAACCTCTTCTTAGTCTCTTTTGTTGTCTCTTATCTGTTCAACAAACACCCACTGCGCAGGACCATCCTCCGGTAAGCCGTCCAGTGGGGCCATTTGGGAGCCCTTCGTCGTGGGGTGAGCGCTGCAGGAACCGGGGCCCCATAAGCCCGTGCTTTTGTCGGGGCTGCCCCCTCTCCCATCGCAGGGTAACTGGCACCAGGCTGTTAAGCTGTGGATAGGCAACCGCACATCCCATTGGGTGTGCGTATTTCAGCACGTGGAGTTGGCCAGTGAAGCCGGCCGAGGTCGGCACAGGTGGGGAGGAAGGGTCGTCCCGCCTCCCGTCCAGGCCAGTCCTGTTGCGCCTCCTCCTGCCCCACTCTGACTTTCGCGCGCCCAGGCGTCTCTGAGGGTCGCGCCCGATACCCTCCTCTACCCCAAGGCTTCTTCTCCCCAAGGGCCGGGCTGGGGCCCAGGAGCGTCACAGCCTCCGTAGGCCCCGGAAATCGCAGCTTCGTCAAAGCTAAGCCTGCCACGATCAGCTTTTCCCACCACCTGGAGGATCCACTCTCCGTCCGTCCTTCCCGACCTCAGGCTGCAGAGAAAACTTGGGGGCGGGGGTCGAGGAAGCCGCGCCCCAAGGCTCCCAGCACAGCCCCAAGAGGAATCCTGCAGGCAACAAGAAGCTGTACACGCGGCCGGGCGCGAGCCTCCGAGTCCAGGTGGGGTCTCCGCGCCCCAATTCCACCCCGCCCCGCATCGGCGCCCCCCGCAAGTGAGGGGTTTCCACACGCCCCGGCGTTCCCGCCCACTCAGGGTCTCCCTCGACCCCCGGGAGATGCTCCCCGCTTTCTATCCCGCCCCGCTCTGGCGCGCCAGGTAAACGATGTGACCCCGCCCCCCTGCGGTCTCTCCTCCCCAGGACGCTGCCCCCGTCCCCACTTGTGGTGCTCGGGGCATCTCTAAAGCCCCCAACCAGAGTCCTCCAACCCACCCGCGAGGCTCGCGCACCAGCAACGCGGCCCCGCCCGCAGGGACCCCGCCCACCTGTGGCTCTACCCCCGCCTCTGCGGCCTCCCCCACCGCTAGCGCGGCCCCCACCTACGACGACCCCCGCGTAGGTCCTCCTGCCCACACCTGCCACCCCGCCAGCCCCTGTCCCAGCCCCTAGCCGTGCCCCCGCCCCTAGCCGCGCCCCCGCCCCCGCCCCCGCAGCCCCTCCTGTGCGCTCGGGTCCATCCGTCACCGCCCATTGGCCCTGGGTCAGCGCAGGGGCGCCGGCCTGGCTGCGGTTCCGAGTCGGGCGCGCGCCGGCAGGGTTCCCATTGCCAGCGGCGCAGCCAGACTAGGGGCTGCCCTCCGCCTTCTCGCCATGGACGCGGACGACTCCCGGGACACCAAGGGCTCCTTGCGGAAGTTCCTGGAGCACCTCTTCGGGGCCCGCAAGGCCATCGGCGTGCTGACCAGCGGCGGGGATGCTCAAGGTGCGCGCCCCCTCCCGGCGGCGAGGGAGTGACGGACGGAGGAGGGAGAACAGAGCAAAGTGGATGGGGCGACGGGACAGAAGAGGGGGGAAGCGATGGGAGGACCCGGGGGAAAGGTGGGGAAGCGATGGGAAGAACCGGGGAGACGAGCGGGGAAGCGATGGGGAAACTGGAGAGAAGCCCGTGACCCGGACGGCAGGGGTACTGCGGGGCGGCGTGACGCCAGCAAGGCAGCCCCGGGGTCCTTGCGGGTGGGGCGGAGGCGCAGGGACACGGCGGTCGGAACCTCCGTCCGGAAGAGAAGGAGCTTTCCACCCCCTCCGGTTTATGTTTTCATTGAGCCTGGCAGAGGGGGTCGCCTGGAGCGCCCCTTGGCGACGTTCTCCCTCAGAGCTGTAGGACGGGGCCGGGCTTCCCTCCGAACGTGGGTCAGCGCGTCACTTGCTACAGTGGCCCCTGCCCCCTAACTCCGCCCCACGTCATCCCCCGCATGTCGCTTTTCCGCTGAGAGTTTAAAAAGGGGTTTCCTAAAAGGCATTTAAAAACAAAAAAAAAAAAAGGGTTTCCTGCACTAGTCGCTTTTCGGCTAGTGACAATACCCGAAAACTAAAATGGTCCCAGGCCCTCCCCGCCAGCCTCTGCGGACGGGAAGGACCAGGAAGCGGGGCACTCCGGGACGTCAGCGGCCGGGGCGCGGGCTCTGGGCTTCCCCTTCCCTGCAATGTAGAAGCGGCTCTCCAGGAGGGGTCCGAGTCTGGGCCACACGCGGGGCGGCCGGAGGACATCTTAACATTGACGGCCGGAGGTGGTGGACACTGTGCGCCCCAGGCCCCGGTGCCGTGGGGGGCGCCGGTGCCCCGACGGTGGACGCGCCCCGATCCCTTGCAGCCGCTGGATGGTAGATCCGCGCTTCCCAGGCAACGCTACTGGGAGCCTTAGCGATCGCGCGGGCTGGAGACGCGACGCGCCCGGAGCTGGGTTTTGATTTTTATTTTCCCGGTTCCTCCTGCAGCAGATGCATGGAAAGGCCCGGATGGGGCTTTCCTCCCGTTCGGGACCGCGCACTGCACAAGGATGGGCGGGATGGGCCCAGCCCCCGGCCCCGGTGACCTTCCCTTCGCCCTTGAGCGGCGCGGGGCGGGCGCGGGTGCTGCAGGTTGGGGCGCTGTGGGCGCCGCCACCGCCGCGAGCGCCTACGTGCATGCCGGGCCCGTAGTCTCCTTGCGCCCAGGCCGAGCATCCGTCTGCCCGCACTCCCCGAGCCCGCAGCGCAGCCTCCCAGGCCAGCACCCCCCGCGGGAGACCCAGTGGCAGCGCCAGACCCCGCCCTGCAGCCCGACCCCCAGCGCCCTGGCAAGTGCTCTGGCGTTAGCGTTCTAGTAAAGGACCCCCAGCCTCAGCATTCCTCCTGTAGGGTTGGATTCTCCGAGAAAGAAAGGTATGCAGCAGACGCTGGGATTGGAGAATTACCAGAGTGAAGTGGAATAGTCTGGCCAGCATGACTTAAACCGGCTGGGATGTGCAGTACCAGTGGAACCGCCTGAGGTCGGGATAGGACCCAGCAGTGGGCTTCTCCAGTCCAACAAGGCCTTCAGAGGCAGAGGGAACATCTTGAGTGACTTTACCTGGGCCGCCAAAGACAAGAACTTTGGCACGGGAAGAGGAACCGATCTCTGGAGTCACCAGGGCGGGTGGAAGGTCAGGGGTTCAAGCTTATTTTGGAATTTAGGTACTGTGGTTCCTGCACGGTGGCTCGTGCTTGTCATTCCAGTGCATTGGGAGGCCAAGGCAGGAGGATCGCTTGAGCCCAGGAGTTCCAGAGCAGCCTGGACAACATAGTGAGACTCTGTGTCTACAAAAAAAAAAAAAAAAGAAAGAAAGAAAAACATTCAGATGCTGTATGTATTGGAAAATATTTATGGGTCATTCCTTTGGGCTTCATGTCCAAAAGCTTGCTAAAATGCTTGGGAGTTTGTGTACAGGCATGTGAGATTAGGATACATTGGCAGAATCGCGGTGTTCTCTTTTATCCTGGTTTTGCCACCTGGGAGGAGTTACACATATTGAAGGTTAGTAAGTCCACGCCTCTTCTCTTCTGGGGAAAAAGGTACTTTGGAAACCAATATTATGTGGGAACGTGGCTTGGTTGGTACAGCCTCGGCTTAATGGGAGACAGCTGCCCTCAGCTCTGCAGGTGGCATCAAATACGGTGGCCTCGAGCCCACATGGATCACACCTGGGCTGTCCCTGGGGAAGCCCGCCACGGCGGTCACCTGGGCATTCTTTCCCTGGCAGAGCCGAAGTCACAATTTTTTTGTAGACTCTAAAGAGCTTTACCCTTCCGAGATATGATCTTGAACCTGTTGGAGCATTTGGACGCATTTCTTTTAAGGAAGTTCACCTCCAGATGTGCTCAGAGGGCCTGGTCTTAGCTGCCACAGATTTACAAATTCTTACAGTAAGAATGGAGGCATCACTCGGTCTCTGTCTTCTCTCCGTGTCTCTTTCTTCACTCCCATCTTCCCTAACACACATCCACAGTGCAAGTCTTCAGGAGGCAAAAGAGAAAAGGCTAGACTGTGCTGGGACCCAACCCCAGGGCCCATTTGCTGTCTTCTCAGCTTCCATGTGCCCAGAGCCGCCTGGGGAGCCTTCGGAGGTGCAGATCCTGACTGTGTGGGTCTGAGTGAGGCTCCGACTCTCACCGGTAGGGGGAGGGCGCCGGTGCTGCGGGTCCCCCTGGGGCCAATGGGGTGGTTGCAAATCGTGCAGATCAGCTTCTCCACTTCTCCAGGTTTCTCCAACGTGAGATGCTCCCAGGAGTCCTTTGGGATTGTTTTCTGACTTTGACCAGGATTTTGACGGAGAAGATTCATTAATATAGGACCCCTTGTCTTAACGTACATATGTAAATGATCTGATGTGAAGTTTTCTGAATGGAAAATGATTGAAAGGTTGGCATGCAGTAGACTTGGGGAGTCATTCCTTCATATCTTTTCAGCTGTGTCTTACTACAATTAAGATTTTGTTTCTGTGTGTGTGGGGGGGGGTTTTGAGATGGAGTCTCCCTCTGTTGCCCAGCCTGGAGTGCAGTGGCTTGATCTGGGCTCACTGCAACCTGTGCCTCCCGGGTTCAAGCGATTTTTCTGTCCCAGCCTCCAAAGTAGTTGGGATTACAGACTTGCGCCACCACGCCCACCTGGGTTTTGTGTGTGTGTGTGTGTGTGTGTGTGTGTGTGAGTGTGTATCTTTAGTAGAGATGGGGTTTCACCATGTTGGTCAGGCTGGTCTCGAACTCCTGACCTCAAGTGATCCACCCGCCTTGGCCTCCCAAAATGCTGGGATTACAGGCTTGAGGCACCACACCTAGCCTTATTTCTGTGTTTCTGTAATCATTTCACACATTAACGGAGTGCTTTCGGTGAGTCAAGGCAGGCTTTAGGCAAAAGAACCAAGCCCTTTATGCCCCTGGAGCTCTCACTCCTGCGGCGAGGCGTGGGTACAATGTGCTGTAGCTGGACCTGAGAAGAAAAACTCCTGTCTTATGAAAGGGCCCAGGGGAGCCTCTAGTTGGGGCCCTTTGACCTGACCCCACGGTGAGGGAGGAGTCGGTAGAGGAGGGTGGCCCAGAGGAGAACTTTGGATTTGCCTTAAGGGAATGGGAAGCAGGTGGAGGGAAGCAGACTGACTGGGAAGCAGACTGACTGTTCTCCGATAATGGTGGTTCTGTGGAGAGGAGAGGACAGGAGGGGAAGTTGTGAGTTTAGGGTCTCACAAGGAGCGGCCAAGATGGAATCTATGGGTGGGGCATTGTGGCAGGGCACCCTGTGCCACAGACACACCCTGGAGAGGACCCAGGGACTTGAGTGTGTGGGGCGTGGGTAATGGGCACTCAGCTATTACAGCTGGAAGGCAGAGGTGTGAGCTGCGACAGACACGGGCAGATGGGGGTAAAAGGAGAGTCTTCGCACATGCTTAGAATAGCAGGAACTGGAAAACCAGCAAAAACTATCAACAGGAGATTAATGGATCCATTATGGCACCTGGAATGGAAGGAATTTTGTCAGCGTTTAATAAGGAGCTTTGTGCTGGTCGAAAGTCAAAGGTGCACAGTACATCAAGGCAGATTGAAGAGCCGATCCAGAGCAGTCTTGCACAGCAGATCCCCTGGGGCCAGAGGGGCCGTTTGCAAATCCAAGCAGATCCCCTTCTTGGAGGTTTCTCCAACGGGAGCATCTCCCAGGATTGGGGCCTGCGTGGGTGGCTTAGTGTTTATATGCAATTTTAAATGATCTAGTTGCCACATTAAAGAAAGGCGGGCCGGGACGGGGGGACACTGGGTGCCATGATTCATGCCTGTAATCCCAGCACTTTGTGAGCCCAAGGCAGGTGGATTACTTGAGCCCAGGAGTTTAGGCCAGCCTGGGGAACATGGAGAGACCAGTGCTACCAAAAATATAAAGCAATTAGTCGGATGTGGCGGTGCACACCTACAGTCCCAGCCCCGTGGGAGATTGAGGTGAGAGGATTGCCTGAGCCCAGGAGTTGGAGGCTGCAGTGAGCTGTGACTGCACGGTTCACTCCAGCCTGGGCAACAGAGTGAGACCCTATCTAAAGGAAAAAAGTAAAAAAAAAAAAAAAAAAAAAAAAAAAAAAAAACTGTTTTATATTCAGCATTCAGCCACTATTTTGATAACAATCAGTTATTGTGTTGATTAGTATTTACACCGTTTTCCATACTAAGTCTTTGAAATCCATTGTGTAAAGAATCTTAAAGTTCATCTCCATGTGGACGGGATCACGTGCCAGCGACAGTGTCTCGCTCTGTCACCCAGGCTGAGCGCGGGTGGTGCAATCTCCGCTCACTGCCAGCTCCTCCTCCCGGTTCACGCCATTCTCCTGCTCAGCCTCCTGAGTAGCTGGGACTGCAGGCATCTGCCACCATGCCCCAGCTAATTTTGTATTTTTAGTAGAGATAGAGTTTCACCATGTTGATTAGGCTGGTCTTGAACTCCTAACCTCAGATGATCTCCCCACCTCGGCCTCCCAAAGTGTTGAAATTAAAGGCATGAGCTACCACGCCCACTGGGCTAATTTTTAAGTTTTAGAGATGGGTTCTCACTGTTACCCATGCTAGTCTCAAACTCCTGGCCTCCAAGCAGTCCCTCCATATTGGTCTCCCAAGTGCTTGGAATTGCCAAGCATGAGCTACCAACCTAGCCAAAAATTGATCTTTAATTTTAAAACTTCATCTAGAGATGTGACAAACACCAGATGAGGTATTTGTTAAAATACTTTAATAACCCTTGTACAGTAATAGATAATCCAACTGACAATTTCACAAAACTCAATTTTGGCAACAAGTTCAAGGTTATACATGATAATAAAGATAACATTTATTCAAACCAGAGGTAAAAGGTTTACAATATAGAATTTATCTTTTTCTTTACTATGTTGTCTGAGCTATGGTTAAGGTGGGGAACTGGTATCTTAAAGAACCTTCAGAAATTTCTCATTCTAGAATTTAGAAACAAACTTTACACTCTCGGGGTTTGAGAGAATCCAGAAGCAATCACCACCCCTAGTGTCCAGATGCTACTCTCCAAAGGCCCTTCCCCACTAGCCACAGAAATCAGAGCTACCCTGGGAAACAGACCAGTTGAGCCTCTGGAGCAGGGAGGGCCTGGCTGTGCATGCTTAGGGAGGTGGGAGTGGGGGCATAGAAACCAACGAAGTGAGACCAAAATGGGCCAACAGCCGGGGCAAATGTGGGCATAAAACTAAATTCCATCTGATCACATGTCTCAAATATGTACATATACAGAAACATTTCTGTGAGGTCACAGGGGGTACTAAAAACAAAACAAAAGACTGGCGGGGGGGGAAGAAGAAAAGAAAGAACCTCTCTTCTCCATGTTGGGCGCAATGACTCACGCCTGTAATCCCAGCACTTTGGGAGGTCAAGGTGGGCAAATTGTTTGAACTCAGGAGATCGAGACCAGCCTGGGCACCACGGCGAGACTCTGTCTTTACAAAAAAAATATAAGCACTAGCTGGGCATGGTGGTGCACACCTGTATCCCAGCTACTCAGGAGGCTGAGGTGGCCCCAGGAGGCTGAGGCTGCAGTAAGCTAAGACCATGCCCACTGTACTCCAGCCTGGGGGACAGAACCAGACCCTGTCTTTAAAAAAAAAAAAAAAAAAGACAGCCTCTTCTGTCATCATTAAAGGTAGTTCCTGCACCACCCTCCTCCTCAAACTGGACTTCCCAGGGAGAGCAGCCGCCCCTGCTTTTCCACAGAACCATATTTCAGATAACCCGACACCCCAGCTGATGTGGAGCTCTTCTTTGAAGAAGTCCAGCAAAACGAATGAAGAATTACAGAATTTGAAAACTTCAACAAACTCTAATAAATGATTCAGGCAATAATCCTCAATGAATATGAAAACCATTAATAGGTTGATGAGGAAACTCATTATCCAAGGACACCAGAAACTCAAGTGCACACAGCTGCTCCGTGGCTGAAGGGAGAAAGCAGATCTTCACAAGACAGTGGCCGACTCTCAGCATGCACCGCTGGCGTGAGACCCCCCAGTGGAGGCAAGCAGGCCTCACACCGACGGTAGAATGTGGCCATCTATGCAGAACTCCCCACGAGGGACTCTGCTTCAAAAGGCACAGCTGACTGAAACTAAGTCTTTGGTCTAAGTTCCAGTTCTCAGGAACACAGGAACATGGCACCAGAAACCAACCAGAAGCAGCCAGGTCACCTGGAAAAGTGAGAGCGCCCGGAGGAAACCCGGCCTGCACACTCCGCTGCGTCCGAGAGGGTGCCAGGAGAGACCCGGGCTGACCAGCTGTGATCTGTGGGACCCTGTGCCACCAACACTTTGAGGCCAACTAGAAGATTTGAATGATGGAATAAAGAAAATATAGGCAGTTTTAAGAAAGCATGTTTTATTCTATTAAAACTGAAAATGGCATTAGCCTCATGTAAGAAAGAATCCTGATGTTTTAGGGTCACAAAATTAAAATATTTAGGGGTAGATGATGACGTTTATAATTTACTTCAAAAACTTCACAAGGAAAAGGATATCTATTATGTGATAAGTGTTTAGGGGCTCATTATCCTAGTCTACTTTTCTGTATGCTTGAAAGTTTTTCCATAATTCTTTTTACGTAAATAATCTTGGAATATGTTTTTACATTAGCATTTATTATGGAAATTAATTAGTATTTTATATATCATATTAACTACATTATTGATGATAATGACCTTATATTAGTGACATAAGAAACAAGCGATGTATCAGAAAGTGAGGAATGTAATTAAGGTTCTGTGACTGCATCCCACTATCGGAAGAGCACTTCTCCGTGCCAAGGACAGACTCGAAGCTTCACACACCCTGGGTCGGGGTGGGCACCATCCATGCACCGGCCCCACTCTCCATCGCAACAAAACTGGAAGCAGAAGACAAGAAGCTGGGGCGCAGGACTCTTCTCTGGGGTTCTCTAAACACCGTGTTTGTAACCACCATGCTGAGCCCACTGAAGACTATCATTGTAATGTCCAAAAATTGTCCAAGTAAGATAGGCAAACTTAGGCCAAGAATCTTACCTACACTTAGATATTTCTTAAGCATCGCTAAATGTGAGAGAAGCCATGTCATGAACAATGTAAGAACACAAACAAGTCAACTTTTCACAATCCACCATCAAACTTTTCCAACAAAACATTACTAGCATTGCCTGGGTGATAGTGAGTGACATGAAATTGCTTAAGCTGCTCCCACGTAAGCTCCGGGATGCAGAGTGGTCACCCCCAGAGACCACTGAGTAGTGCGGAGGGGAAGAAGTCTGTTTTGAAGGTGCTGGGAGAATATCCTTTCATTGTTTGTCTTGAAATGTGAAGTAAATAAATAAGAATATATACATATAGAATAATACACACACGCTACATTACTTAC